TTAGGATCCTCATACCATAAACTAACTGATCTTACTGACTCATCTGTACAGTGAAGAGTTACCTCACGCTTGTGTAGTACAATAAAAATAGTACGTACTAGTTTAGTATACGAGAGAAAAGTAAGAGTAGATAGAACAGGAACAGCATGAGACCCCATCAGTCTTGATATCTTACCATATCTCCTACACAATTGTATAATGATAACGATAATGATCCACAGGTAGAGAGGGAAAGCAAACTGGAGCCATTGTTTAGCATAACTGTCCATACCATTGTAAAAACATATCTCAAACCCAAAGTCTAAGTTAATCCATGATATGACTTGACTCAAGACTGGTAATGCTCCTTTCCTTGAAAAGACTGGCTCGTATAACTTGACAATGTTAGCATAGAACAATAGACCATTGAGTGTACCCACTGATACTGTTAAATTGAGAGCGATCATTAGAACCACAAGTAGTACACCCATCACTGCAAACAGAGCAATCCAAGCTATCATCATGTAATTATCATGACACTGTTCACACTTGTGTGATCCCATTAGTAGACTGTATCCCTCTGTACATGATCCACATATTCTGTGTCCTCTATTATCCACACATTGAGTAAGAGTGTAATTCAACTTGAAGGTAACAGGATTAGGAGAACAATAGAGGAGACAGTCCTCATTGATAATGCATGCATTAGGATTGGTTGCATTAGCATTGAAAGGTGTAGTGGTATGATATGTTCCAATCCACAGTAGACCATTGTGTGTAATGTTTAGAGTATTTATATCACATGTGACATTCTCTCTTGAAACACTTTGACTACAAGTACAGGAACCTTGTGAACTGCTTATACTGAAACCAATGGGACACTCTTTAACATCGAAACAAGAAAAAATTTTGGTGTCAATATTGATCGGTTCTAATTGTAAGCCATATACTTTGTATCCTGTTTGAGTCAGTTTAGGTGTGTATTCAATCAGTGAACAGGTATTGGGAATGTATGTTTGATTGAGCAAGCTGCTAGTGTTTAAGAACCGTATTTGTACTGTACCATCTGTGGGGGTGTCTGATCCAGAGTAATCATAACCAAACAAAGTCACATAAAGTTTCAATGCTTGACCTGGATAAATGTGTTGACAACCTCCATAGTATTCCGGTAAACAGTTTTCATAACTAGTAGCATCATGAGGATCACAAAAACATGCCTCCATTGAAATGCCTGTTGAACAAATGTTTGGGTTTGTCAAGTTAAACTGATTCTCTGTCATACTGTATACCCCATACATATCACCACCAACCAGTCCAGCAGTATTATTTATTAATGTAAGAGGTATGTATGGTGCTATTAATATTATGTCAGTATCTGATGACTCTTCGGCATAGATCCCTCCTCCTTTATAAGAAGCATGATTATCAATGAACTCCAAGTTAGCTGATGATGATACTATCAATCGTGATGAGTCATTTATTGCTAATCCTCCTCCAACTACTCCAGTATTGTTCTTGAATATAAAATTATTACTAATTGTTACAAATGATGCTGTAAGACTCAATCCTGTATAGGTACTGTTAGCAACAGTAACATTACTGAGACTAATAGCATTACTGTTCATTATCTTATTTCCTCTATTTCCAATAAGTTCAGTATCTGTTATCTCAATTTGAAGGAATCTCAAAAATGCTGCATCAACATATAATCCTTCATTTGTATTGTCATATATCAAACATGATTTAATGATAATGTGATAGTTTACTGCTTTTAGTAAATACTCGTTACTAATGATCCTCAATTCTTCTTTATTATTATAAATTTGACAATTCTTAAGTACCAAAATAGAAGTTAATTGAACACCAGGATATGTGCAATCATTTGATTTTGACTTTTCATTAATTTCAATAGGAAAACCAGGACCATAATTAACATCTTTAAATGATGAGTTGGTGATAAAAAAATTAAAAAGACCTCCAAACAAAATATTCAAGATATAGTTAGTGTAGTATTGAACATGATCAAAAATGATTGATATATTGTATGAGGTACCATGATTCATTCCTAGTGTAATTTGATTGCCAGCAGTAGAGGTAACATTAGTCAGTATCAATGAGTAATGGAGTAATTCACTGCTACATGCTGGAAGAGGATAATACTCAATAATCAGATTACAGCCAATAAAGGTAACTGATGATACCTTAACATCAAAAGCATTAGATAAGCTTAAATAACCGGCAGTCCTTAAGGCAAAAACAGAGTTAGTTATTGTAATATTGTTAGATGAATCAACCTCCACTGGACAATCAGTAAATGATAAGTTAGAAATAATGACATGATGACTGTAATAGAAGGAAATGGTAGCTCCATTGATGCCATAAACTCTCTTCTTGCAGTTAATACTAGGAGACTGTGCTAGTCCATGTAGAGTAATATTCCTTACTGCAGTCATGGTAACAACATAATATTCAATGTTAGTAGTTCCAATGAAGTAGAAGATGGTGTTATTGTATTGAGACATATTCCCAGCATACACTGATAAAGGATTACAAGGTGACTGAGTAACAGAACTGCAGTCATCAGACACATAATACTGACCAGAGGAGACACTGCAGGAGCTACTGAAGAATAAGAGAACAACCACTAACAGGAGAGACATAGCTGCTGTCTGGACTGACTACTGACTGGTACAACTGGCATATGAACTCAAACTATTTAAGCTACAAGAAACTTTTATGGGCTACTCATCTTCCTCCAAATAAGGAAATTTGACACATCGTAATTCAAAATTCTTAAAAGTAGTATAGTACATGTACAATGTAGTAGTCATTCTAATGGCATTCGGTGCCTGTAATAAGTACAGGTACCAGTACTACAAATGTATGTATAGAGACTTTATGTGGTTCTAGGAATGATTAGTGTTGGTTGTAATTCATTTAACTGGTTTCTGTATATATACTTTGTACAGTGACTTTATACTAGTACTAGTAATGATTTGTTTTTATTTGTGGTTTTACCAGTAACTACTAGTACACTACAACACACACTCACTGTACCAATGGACTAATAGAGTGATAGGAATAAGGGAATTGAAGATTGAGACAAGTGTCTTATATTACTGATATACACCTCAAAGGTATGGGTACATGTGATAAATTCTATACTTACTGTAAGATCAAATTGCACAAAACCCGCCATTACACTTTAATCATTGGTAGTGACAACTGATGGGCATCATCAGCAGGTAAAAATAATGCATCATGTACATAAGAATACATGTATTTATACATTACTCTCAACTTTTCATGCTAATTGGGCAATTTAGATGAAGGTACTGCTTTTGTGAAAGAAGCAGCAGCTAACAGTGATGAAGGTGCTGTAGTGTGCTGACTCACATGATGCAGAACTTATCAATTATTCATTGATTATTGTCTATATAAATGCATGTTGCGTTTCAGTGTTTGGGTGTAAACTGTAAACTAAATGGGACTTTAAGGTTACTTATTAGCACTAACATTTATGTTTGAGAGAAGCTTCGGTAACAAAAAATGCTGAAGATTTTATCAGTTCTCCAGCAAAAAGTATGGTATCATTCATCATAGGTAAAGTAACAGAGGATAGTTTAAACACTACCACTAGATCTAATTTACTACAAATTGGATTGAGGGAAAAGTATTATATCTTTCCAACTGAATATAGCTAAACTAAACCAAAAAGAAGACAACAAAAGGAGGGAAAGTGCTTAAAAGGTAGCTGTGAACATCCTACAGCCAGACAAATGGTACAGTGTCAATCCAGCCTCAAATGGCTACATTGTTTCTGTTTTCGTTTCAACACAGTAATTATTTTTTCAATATCAATTGATTTTTGTCCAATAATTTGAGTTACAATTTTCACAAATTCACAATACTTGGCTAGAGGAATAAAGTATTCAAACACAAAGTACCACACATGGTTATCATTCATACATTAAATATATAATGACACTAGTGTTTACAAACATAATTGTGTTTAGTATATATATAAAGTAGACTCTGTCACACAAACAATTTTACTGGTGTATGTATGCTGGCACAGCATAAGTCCTACCCCTTTTGACATTTGGTTTTGACACTGTTTCCTTTAATTACTTAATTGTGTTTATACCTGTGATTACTTGTTCTTACCTGTGATTACTG